GCACCAACCGCGATCATCGCCTCCCGCTCGAGGGCGGTGCTGCCATCCCCGGTGCGCGGGGCTGGGAGTGCGGGGGGGCTGCAGGAGGGCTGGGCACTTGCCAGCAGCCCGGGGGGTGTGAGGACCTGGCTCTGGGGGTCTCCCGTGCTCGACTCTGTCGTCGCACCTAGTGTTGCGTTGCTAAACCGCGAGTTCCATCTTAGCCTGAGGAAGAGCTGCTTTCCATGGAGGCGGCAGAGCCCTGGTCCAAGTGTCCGGGGGGGTGTGGAGTTGCCCTCTCTGGAGACATTCAGACCCACCTGAATGTGTCCCTGTGTCACCTGCTCCAGGTGACCCTGCCCTAGTGGGGGGTTGGGCTGGGTCATATCCAGAGGTTGCTTCCAACCACAGTTGCTCTGGAATTCCATGTGGCAGCCTGGGTATGGCAGAGCCTGAGCTTCCCTCACAGCAGCCTTGAACAGGGAAGAATCCTTCCTGATCCTTTGCTGGGGGAATAGTAGTTCCTTTTTGACTTAGTGTGGGATGAAATTCCAGCCTCCTAGGAGACTTTATGTGCCTCCTCTCCTTGGCCTGGCACTCTGCCCATCCCTCAGCCTGTCCTTTTGTGTGTCCCTCTGCCTCCTGGCAGTCCCTGTGCCCATCCTGCTTGGCCCTCTGCCCTCTGTCTCTCCCTCTGCCTGTCCTGCTTGTCCTCTGCCTGTCCCTTTGCCTGTCCTTCTGCCTTCTATCCATCCCTCTCCCTGCCCCTCTGCCCTGCCCTCTGCTTGTCCTGCTTGTCCCTCCATGCATTCTTCTGCCTATCCCTCTGGTCATCCTCCTGACCATCCTCCTGACCATCCCTCTGCCCATCCTGCTTGTCCCTCTGCCCGTCCCTCTGCGTGTTCCTCTGCCTTCTGCCCATCCTTCTGCCTGTTCTGCTCGTCCCTTTGCCTTTTGCCCATCCCTCTGCCTGTCTCTCTGCCGTGGCACTGCATTCCCTGACCCCTGAGGGTTTGCTGTTCTTGCTGTGGTCACTGACCGTGCCCCTGTTGCAGGGACGGGGTGCCTGGTGTCAGCGGTGGAGACGGCGGCGCAGCGCGAGGCTTTCATCGTGGGCAAACCCAACCGCTACATGTTTGACTGCGTGGCCAGCGAGTTCCACATCGACCCTGCTCGCACCATCATGGTGGGGGACAGGCTGGACACAGACATCCTCATGGGCAACAGCTGTGGGCTCACCACACTGCTCACCCTGACTGGTGTCACGGCGCTGGACGAGGTCAGGGACCACCAGGAGAGCCACTGCCCCACCAGGCACAGCCTTGTCCCCGACTACTACGTCGACAGCATCGCAGACCTGCTCCCAGCCCTGGGGGAGTAACCCCGGGGGAGTCCCTGGGACCCACCTGGGTACTCACTAGATCCTCCCCAGAGTAACCCCAGGGGGAGCCCATGGGACCCACCTGGTACTCTCTAGATCCTCCCCGAAATTAGAACCCTTAGCTTCTCACCTCTGTGTCCTCTCGATATGATTCTGTTTACATCTCAGGCTTGAAATGCACTTTGGAGCCAGGGGGGCATCAGTGTCGCCCAGGGCTGGGGGCTTGGGGCTTGGTTTAATTAAGCAACTGGATTATAATCATAAGTATCAGTCCAAATGTCTGTGCTGCTCTGCCACTGCCCCAGCTCCGTGCTGAGCTGGGGCAGTGTAGCTGTTGGGCTGAGGAGAAGAGCTGTGTCCTGGCTGGGCTGTGCCTGGCACAGCCTGGGTCATTCAGGGAAGTGACTGTGTTTGAGGTTTGCCCTCAGGGGGATTCCTTTCCCTGCTCAGGGGCAGAGCCCCACATCAGCTCACACAAATTATCTCCTTCCCATTGCAAATTGCATCTGATCCCACGCCAAGCCCAAAGCCTGTCAGTGCACACTGTGTCTGCCCAGGTGTCAGGGGTGTGTGTGTGTAAAGCACAGGTACACAAAGGCACTGCCCTGACCCTGAATACAGAGCTGAATATATTTAAATGATAAATTTAAGCAGAGTCTATGATAATATATCTTGTGTCCCAGGAGGGAGGGTGAGAGGAATGTACTTCACTGATCACAGTAGGTCTAACTCTCCCAAACCTCTGCATTTGGTAGTGCAGAGAGTCTGTAGCCACATAGGACTGTCCTTCACTCCTGCTGCTTCCCAGGAGTACCTGATTGATCTATACTGACTCCCTGTACTTCCCTCAGCATCAACACAGCCACTTGCCTTGGCTTTAGCTGCAGAATCCCAACTCCTGCTCAGTCCATGGACGGATGTGGCACCCAGGGCAGCTTTCCGCAGGGAATTCTGTGTGTCCTGGCTGTGTGTGGTGATGGCACGTGCTTCCTTCCCATCCCTGAGACTCAGCCCTTCCTCTGGAGGGCTTTGAGGAGGAGTCCAGGCTTGCTCAGGGGATTGTTTCACTTGGCTCTGCCAGGCTCAGGCCAGGGCGTGGGTTTTATCCTGTCTGAATCCCACAGCTGAGAGAGCTTTTGCATTATAGAATTAAGTGGAAATTATATATGCAAACAATATGCTTCTGTTCCATAGATTCCAGTATCTACAGTTCAGTTTAAGCACTGGTTTCCCTTCCTGTCCCTCTGAACAGCTCTGGCACTGGCGATGCCTGTTTACTTGTCACCTTGTTAGCACAGCAATAACCCTTTGGTCCAGAGTATCTTGGTGTTGGCTGATCCCCTCACAGGATGTGTATTTGTAATCTGGAGTTGTGAGGAACTGTGGATAACCTCTTCCCTGTTCCTGTCTCCAGCTGGAGGGCTGAGACTGAGCAAAGTCACAGAAGGAGAGCTTGGACTGGGTAATGTGTAAATGGACATTATGGATTCACTGCGGGTCGTGTTCCATGTAACTGTGTGTGGATTCAGTCCCTGTTTATGGTGCTTGTAGTGTCAGGATGTGTCAGGAAAAGGCCAGGAGAGATGTCCAGCCTCCCTCAGGCAGCTGTGTCCTGCCCAGGGCTCTCACCGTGGCCTGGACTGGTGGATGCTGGAATGTGCTGGTGATGGTGTCAGTTACTGCTTCCCAACTCTGTACTGACTTCCAAATGGTTTTTAATCCTCTACTTGAATTCCCATTAAACTCACAAACCTGCTCTCCCTGGTGTTGTCTCATTGTGTGGGAATCTTGGGAGTGGTGTTTGTGTCCTCTGTGTTCCTCTCATTCTGTGTCAGGGACAGAAAACCAAGCTCTGGAATGTTCCTGATCGGCTCCCGGAGCGTGGGCTGGGATTTGCTGCTCTGCTAGGAGCACAGAGCAGAGCAGGACACAGTAATCCTGTCACAGCATTTATTTATAGAGGGGTTTGCTCCTTCCTGTGCCTCAGATCAGCCAGGGCATGAATTCCTTAAGGTGGGAAAGTGTCTGCTGTGTGACTGTTAATGGCTCTATGGGGAGATCACCTTGTCTGCCCCTTCCGGCCTGGTCCGCACATTCCTCATGCTGCACTTGGCTGCAGCAGAAGGCAGCAGTGGATTGATGGTGGAAATTCCAGGATGAGCTGCCCTCTTGACTGTTTCATGGAATCCTGGAGTGATTTGGGTTGGAAGGGCCTTAGAGCCTTGGGCAGGGACACCTTCCACCAGCTCAGGTTGTTCCAACCTGGCCTGGAACACTCCCAGGGATGGAGCAGCCACAGCTACCCTGGGCAAGCTGTGCCAGTGCCTCAGCACCTCACAGGGAGGAATTCCTTCGCAATTACCCTGCTATCCCAGCCCTCTGGCAGTGGGAAGCCTGTCTTTCTTGTCCTGACCCTCCAAGTCCTTGTCTAAAGTCCCTCGCCAGCTCTCTGGTTGGCTCCTTCAGCCAGTTTGATCAGCCCTGGGCTGTGCTTGACAGGAAAACATCACAAACCTGCATTTTCCCTGGACAGAAATCACATGATGGAATTCTGAGTTTTTCCTTGCCTCCACACCTTGGCTACATGTGCCTGGCAGGTCTTAGGCACTCTGAGAGAACCTGAAGTGGTCAGGAAACCCAGAATCAGTGACCCAGAAATGCTGCTCCCTGTGAGATGTTTCTCAGGACAGGACACAGGTTGTGGCAGTGACTTTGTGGCCCAGACCCTCTCCCAGGATCTGAGGGGGGTCCCTAGGTGGAACACAGGTGTGTCTGTGCAGCCAAGGCTCACAGGACAGCAAGATCAACATTTGGCTCCAGCAGCACCAAGTCCATGCTGAAATGTGCAAACACCTGGTGACAAGGGCAGGCTGCCATTGTCCTCTGGTCAACCGATCCCTCAAAGAGGCTCCCCAGCCCCACACAAAGCCCCTGATTGTGGCTCCCTGTCCCCTCCCGCGGGGAGCAGGAAGAGCACTGACAGCATCCCTCGGCTCCCGCTCCTCTGCCCAGGTGTTCCCTACCCTGGGGCTGAGCCCTTGGCTGCGAGGGACAGGGATTTATGTCTCCTGGAGACAGGCTGAGGTTTCCCAGGTGTGCCTGGAGCCAGGAGGATGCGCAGGCTGCAGGGCAGGAGGCAGAGCGGCAGCAGCCGAGCGCTCGCCTGAAGCGCAGGATGGAGCGTGGGGACAGCGCTGGCCATGCTGCCCCGGCCGTGAGTATCCTGCTCCCTGCAGCTCCCGGGAAAAGGCTGATCTGCCCTTCCCCTGGGGCTTGACTTTGGACTAGGGAGTGACAGGACAAGGGGAACGGCTTCACTCTGCCAAAGGGCAGGGACAGATGGGATATTAGGAAGGAATTCTTCCCTGTGAGGTGCTGAGGCACTGGCACAGGTTGCCCAGAGCAGCTGTGGCTGCTCCATCCCTGGGAGTGTTCCAGTCCAGGCTGGATGGGGCTTGGAGCAACCTGGGCTAGGTGTCCCTGCCCATGGCAGGGGGGGGAATGAGGGGGTCTTTAAGGTCCCTCCAACCCAAACCATTCCAGGATTCCACGATTCTGTCAGACACTCCCTGCTCTGAAGGGGCTGTGCTCCTGCCATTCCCATGTGTCCTGGTAAGGTTTTCTTCATCCCCAGCACTCACAGTTAGCTCCTCTAAGGCAGCTGGGTGTCAACTGGATTGTCTTGGAAGTGTCTGGAATTCCACAGGATAAACTGATCAGTTAACAGGACAGAAGTGCCGAGGAACTCCCTGAGCCACTGGGGATGTGTAAGCTGTGACCTGCTGAGGGCTGGAGCTGCTGTGCACCTTTATGTGCACCTTCCCTCCTGAGGGAATTCTACTGGCTATTGGAAACCTGAGGGTCACTGCAGGGCTGAGGCTCTGCTGAGTTGGAATCCATAAGATTTGGGCAGGTTTTTTTTGGGCACCTGCTTTTCTGGTGGAAGTTCCCTGTTAGTGATGAAGGTGCCCCGAGGCTGGACGAGCCTTGTGCAGCTGGAGGACACGCAGCTGTGTGCGTGGATAGAATTTCCCTGGCCTTCAGAGGGCTGAGGAACAGGTTATTTTTAAGTGTGGACTGTGTTTGAGATTATTGAAAGCACATTTTCTGCTGTGTTAAAACTCATGTTCTGTGCCAGGAAGTTAAAATTACTTCAATATAAGAATTAAAGTCGATTACTAGAGCCCATGGAAGTGCCACAGGACTGCCAAGCTCTTTTCCTTAGTCTCATGGAGAACAACTTAGCAAGAAAATCCAATACAACCAAACACAGGGAGAGGCACAAGAGCAGGATCACTCCAAAGCTGACAGTTCCTCTGGGGATTTCTGCTGGAAACCAAAGTGATTTAATTTGTCCTTCCCTGTGTGTGGAAAGCTGCTGCTCCAGCCCTGCCCCAGGGGCTTTGCAGCTTCCCTGGCTGTGGCAGTGCTGGTTTCTGGGATGTTGGATCTGGAACTCCAGCACTGTGGAATAAAGGCTCCATTATTCCAGGTTTGGCTATTCAGATTGCACAGGGATTGGAGGCACTTCTGATGATGAAGAACTGGCAGAAGGGTCAATTTTAACTCCCATTCCTCCTCCTTTTGCCCTGCTTCCAGGACAGGAGAGCTGCAGTTTGCTTCCCAGCTCCATCCAGGACTTTCTGGATCACCTTGGCCATTGCCTTGTTTTTTGCAGTTGTTGGCATCAGCATCGTGGGTTTCAGCTTCTCCCCCAGCTCTGCACAGGTAAGGCATCCTGATCCAGGCAGGAAGCCTCCTCCTGCCCTCGGCCCTGATTTGTGTGGGAAGCACTTCCAGGAGGGATGAGCAGGCTGAGATTCGGGCTGGGTTTGGCTGGATCCTGTCCTCAGATGATGCAGGAAGGGGCTGGCAGGGCAGGAAGAGGAAGGTGCCAACGTCACTGCAGACAGGGTAGGAAGGTGCAGGCAGAGCTGCAGGCAGGGCAGGAAGGTGCAGGCAGAGCTGCAGGCAGTACTGCAGGCAGGGCAGGAAGGTGCAGGCAGAGCGGCAGGCAGCAAGCTGAGCAGTACCTGTCTCGTGCCTGCCAGAAACCATTGCTTAAATCAGAGGAACAAGCTGAGCAGTACCTGTCTCGTGCCTGCCAGAAACCATTGCTTAAATCAGAGGAATTGCAGCTCATCCCCTGTGCATCCAACCATGACCAGGTGTTTTGCACCATGTGGCTGTGGCTTTCAAGGTGAGGGGGAGCAGTGAGCTGTGCTGGTGGGAGAGATACAGCCTGACCTCCCCTGTGTGCTGTGACAGAGGCTGGGAGTCCCCTGGCCCTTTCCTCCAGCACCTGGTGCCTTTGGCATGAGGGGCATTAGTGTCTCTTCTCCAGTCCTGTGTGATGGAGAGTTGTCTGTGCCACACATCTGCTCATGGCTCAGAGCTTCCTTCATCCTGCTGCTAAATCAGACAGGCAGCAAAGGGTCTGGGTGAGGATGGTGTGGGAGATGCTGTGGGTGTCTCCATGCTGGTGTATGCTGCCCTCCCATTCCCTGTGCCCAGGCTGGCTCCCAGCTCCTCCGCCTGACGCTCCAGGGCCAGCAAGACCCACTGAGGAATCAGACAGCCTTGGTGGACAAGTCCAGGAGTACTGTCACCTACTATGTCACCTCACAGAGTAACCTCAGTGCTGTGGTGCTCTATGACAGCAGGAACGTAAGTGGTGGGGTAATTACCTACCTCATTAGCATGGAAACCATCAGGGGAGCACAGGCTGCTGCGGTGGGAGCAGGAGGTGGAGACCAGGAGAAACATCAGCTCCTGCTTGATGCCTTTCTCTGCATATGAAAGACCAGGTGGGGGAAAGGGAGAATGTCCCTTTTGGGGCTCCGCAGACAGCTGTGGGCACGCACTGCCTGCTAAGGGGCACATCTGTCTGGCAGGGCTACGTGTGCTACAAGCCAGTGGAGCAGCACACCTGCTACCTGAGGAGGATGGACACCTGGGACCTCCAGACCCTGCAGATGGCTCTCAACACGTCTGAGCACAGAGTAAGCAGCTGCTGTGCCCATCCCTGGGGCAGATGGGGGGGATGAACTGGGCTGTGCATGGGTTCCTACCTCACTGGAGTGACTGATTTGCAGTGCTGACTCCACCACTAGCACCCAGGTGTGGCTGGATGAGGGCAGGATCTCCCCCAGCTCAGGGGAGCAGCAGCAGCTCCCAGTTTGCTGGGATTGGGTTGAGGCTGGCACAGGAGCAGAGCTGTGCCTTGCAAGCTCTGAGTAAGCTCAGAGCAGCAGCTCCAGGGTATATCCATACCCCAACTCCTGCAGGTTGGGGCAGAGGGATGTGTCCCAGGGAGGTGAACAGCAGAGCTCCCCCAGGACCCACTCCCACTGCATTCTGTTACCTGCTCAGAAATCTGGGAAAGGACAAACAAAGGGGGTTTGTTACCAATTCCCAGGGAGGAGAGTTGGAGTAAATCACATATACAGACCCTCAAGACAAAATGTCACTGGATGTATGGGCAGCTTCTGTTTCCAGAAGACAGACAGCTCCTTTTTTTGTGCCTCTGCCATCTGCTTTCCATTTCCTAGGGTGCTCCTGGGGGCTCATTGGCCCTCACTTCACTCCCACCCAGCTGGGAAGCAGTGAGCAGCATTTAATGCAGAGGAGTGTAGGAACACAGGACCCACGTGAGCTGCTCCCAGAAGGGATGCAAGGGGAAGAAAGCATCTGCCTGGCTCAGAGCCTCCTAAATGGGAGTAAAATTTGGTGGTGCAGGGGCTGCCAGCAGCCCATGCTGCCATCCAACGGGACCTGCAGGACTAGTGGGTGGCTGTGGGCTGTCCTGCTCCATCCTTGTCCTGGGAGGTAGGAGAGGGCAGCTGGCAAGAGAAACCTGCCTGTACTGATGGGGTAGAGACCACTCCTGGGGAGCCCTAGCAGCCAGAGCAGGCCTGTAGGGCTGCAGGGACAAAGTGCCTTGGCAAGAATTAACAGGGATGTGTCTTTCAGGCTGAGCAACTGCTCCATCGTAACAACCAGACCAAGTACTACAGGGAGTTCCTAGGCATCCTGACAGGGGAACAGGTGGACCCCAAGAGCCTGGGGGAGGCTGTCCAGGCCCTGTGTGAGCAGACATCCATTTTCTGGGTGCGCAGAGAGCAGGGTAAGTGGTAAAGTGTCCTTTGCAGGGGGAAGCAAAAGCTCTTCTAGCACCTCTAAGAGGATCAGGCTCTGCCACACAAAAGCTGAAGCATCCCAGGACAGGCTGCCAAGGCCCAGGACAGGAACAAGTGACCTCTAGTGCAAAATCAAATCATAGCTCACCATCCCTGAGAGCTGGCTCATCCCCACCCCCTGCCCTGAGCCCCTGCCCCAGGCAGCACAGCCTGACTGCACAGCACAGCCAGCAGAGAGCTGTGCCCTGCAATGCTGCTGCGTCAGTCTGCTCTGCCTCACTCCAGCTCTAATGAGAAAGGACATTCCCTGAGACTCCCCACTTGCTTGGCTCCCCAGGGAGCTGCAGGACCAAAGCCTCCTCTCACCTGCTGCTGTCCTTGCTGCTTGGCAGGTCCAGGGAGGCAGCGCCTGATCTATCTGTGCATTGACATCTGCTTTCCAAGCAACATCTGTGTCTCTATCTGCTTCTATTACCTACCTGAGTAAGTGCTGCAGTCCTGGACAACCTCTCCCTGCCCTACATACTTGAACTGGATTCCTGAAAAGCCTCCAATTTCCACAAGGAGGGGAATGGCCACACCATCCCCAGAGCCTCCTGCTGATTTCATGCTGCAGGTCAGGGGCATTTAGACAGACAAGAGGACTCTGCTCAGCACTGTCAGCACAGACACAGCAGCTCTGCTCCAGGGCTGCACCTCATAGGAATTAGGAGACCCAGGCCTAGAGGGACCCTGGGATGTAGTTGGTGTTCTGGGGCTCATGACCTGGGCAGCACAGGTTATTACAGGTGTTGGGGTGGTTGGCTGCAGGAGAGCAGCTCCAAGTAACTCTGTCAAACACTTTGAATAAAGGGATTGCAAACCAAGCCAAGAGCTGCCTTTCCTCTTTGCTCAGCCTCTCCCATCACTCATAAAGGCTGAGTTTTATTTTTTTACCCACTTTGGGGTAGAAGAACATACAAAACTGTCAGCAGCTGATGCCACGGGGGATTCCCCAGCTGAACTGTACCCGTCTCCCTGCAGTGGGATTGTGCCTCCCTCTCCCATCCCCTCCCTTACAGGCCACAAACGTTTCAGCAATGTCCTGCTTGAAGCTGCAGCCTGGTCTCACTCCAGGCAGCTGCAGCTGCTCCTGCCAGAGCCCAAGCCCTCTCTGTCGGGGAGGGGATGGGTACATTGCATGTCCTGGGCTCTGGAAAGGGTCCTTGCCCCTACAAGGCAGCGGGGAACACACAGAGATCCTCTCCTTGCCACATGTGCCTGTTATCCCAACACGCTGTCGTTGAAGGCAAGGCAGACCACGGCCTTCTGGTGGCCACTGTACTCCCTCTTGATCTCTCCTGTCTCCACACACCACAGCCTGGCCAGGTTATCAGAGGAGGCTGGAACAGAGTGTGAAAAGAGAAGTGAGATATATGGCATTACCTTTTAAACTTCTTTTTTACTATTATTTATAAGAAAGACTTAGCTCTTGCTTCCTCACCACTATCTTTAGGGCTGGTGCTGAGCAAGGCAGAGCAAGCAGCTCAGTGTGTCTATTATGTGGGGGTTTCATGATTTCAGAGAGCAGTGACTGTGGAAATCGCCACAGGTGTGTTTTGAATGGACCAACATGCTGTACACTGCAAGCACTGTTGCTCCCACGTGAGATCAACTGCACGCCTGAAGATCACCTCTCCAGTTTAGCAGGTGCCTATTGCACAGGCACAGTACCCCAGGGAGTCAGCAGAATGTGCTGGGGGCATGAGGCTGTGTGCTCCCACATCACACACACCTCTGCCTGGGGGTTTGGCAGAGGAGGTGCAGGGCCCTGGCACAGCCCAAGGCACAGCCTCACCTGTCACGATGTACTGGGAGTCCCCGGAGAAGGCACAGTCCCACATCCACCCCCGAGACGTCTCCCCAGGATTATTGCTCTTAATGCTCAGCTCTGTCATCAGAGAGAAGTTTGAAGTCCTCCAGATCTTGCACGTCTGATCTGCAGAACAGGTAGCCAAGAGCCTGCAAGGAGGACACATGAGAGCACCACAGTCAGTCACACCATACACCTGTGTTACCATGGGCCTGGGACAGTGGAAGCCTGGAGATCTGCCCTCACTGCAATCACATCTCCTGACACCTCTATCACCTGATTTATGGCATTCCAGCTGAACAGGCTCCATGAAGGAGCTCACACTTCACTCCTGGAGATCAGCAGTTGGATCCCAGCTGCAGGAGCAGCTCATGGCTGCAAACCTTGCTGAGCTCAGGGAATGTAGCATAGCACATAGCAACCTTCCAGGATCTGAAGGGGCTCCAGGGAAGCTGCAAAGGGACTCTTGGTTAGGAACTAGTGATAGAACAAGGAGTAATGGGGAGAAATTGAAAGTGGGAAATTGAGGTTAGATATTAGAAAGAAGTTTTCCCTGTACCAGTGATGAGACACTGGCACAGGTTGCCCCGGGAGGCTGTGGCTGCCCCAACCCTGGCAGTGTTCAAAGCCAGGTTGGCTAAAGCCTTGAGAAACCTGCTCTGGTGGGAGGTGTCCCTGCCCAGGGCAGGGGGTTGGGGCTGGATGCACTCTAAGCTCCATTCCAAACCCTTAACATCCTATGATTCTATGAACATGAGTGGGACAGCACCAACAGCAGCCCCATGGTGGTACATCACATGCTTCCTGCCCTGCTCCTCCCTGGGGACCTGCAGCATGCAGCCAGCATCAGCCAAAGCTGGAGGCACAGCTGGCCTCTGTTTCCCAGGGGAGGAAGGTGAGGGCCTCACACACTCACGTGGAGTCAGGGCTGAATTTGCACTGCAGGGCATAGCGGTTGTGCGCTGGAATTTTGGTCTTGGGGATCAGCTGGGTCACCTCCTCGCCAATGCCACCTGTCAGGTTCCACACGTAGCAGTTTCCCTGTGGAGAGACAGCAGGATCTATGTCCAGGCTGGTGGGTGCTCACCCAAAACCAGCCTGGATTTCCCCATCCCCATTAACAGTGTGGCAGCAGGACTAGGGCAGTGCTCATCCCTCTGGACTGGGCACTGGGGAGGTCACACCTCAGTGCTGTGCTCAGCTTTGGGCACCCACTGCAAAAAGGCCATTGAGGCACTGGAATGAGTCCAGCCAAGGACAGTGAGGGCAGGAAAGGGCTGGAGCACATGGGGAAGGGCTGAGGGAGTTGGGGTTGGTTAGCCTGGAGAAGAGGCTCAGAGGTGACCTCATGGCTCTCTGCAGCTCCCTGACAGGGGCTGGAGAGAGGTGTAGGGGATGTCTCTCCTGCCATGGCTGCAGGGAGAGGACTAGAGGGAATGGCCTGAGCTGAGACAGGGCGGAGTCAGAGGAGATGTTAGGAGAAAAGTTTTCCCTGTTAAGAGTGTTCAGGCACTAGAATATTGCCCAGGGAGGTGGTGGAGTCACCATCCCGGGGGTATTTAAGAGGCATCTGAATATAGTGCTGGAGGACACAGTTTAGGAGTTACAGCAGTAAAGGTTGGACTTGATGGTCGTAGGGGTCTCCAACCCTGATGATTCTATGATCACAGCCCAGCCCACCATAGCCAGTGCAGAGAAGCTGTCCCTGCCCACAGAAGTCACCGCAAGAGCACAGCCCATCCCACCCCACCCAGGGCTCACCGAGCTGTTCACAGCTGCCATGTAACTGGCATCAGGGTCAATGTGGACAGAATTCACAGAGACCTCGGGCTCTGGAATGAGCTGCTCGTTGTGGTCAGTCTTCAGGTCCCAGATGTGGATGGCACCGCTCTGATCACCGACGATCAGCTCTGCCTGCAGGGGAACAGCAGCCTCAAGCCGATACCATGACTGGGCCCATGTAGCACCATGTAGAGCTCTGGTTTTAAGCATCAGGTCCTGTTATGCCTCCTTTCCCCCAGCACAGGGTGTTTCACACACTGGTCACCCCATGTGTGGAGAACAAGCCAAGCACTGCCTCACCTCACCCTCTGCAAAAGGCTGTTTCCCCTTCCAGCAGTGTTTGCTAACCTTCTAACCCCCAGAGCAGACAGCAGCTGCCTCAGTTCCAGAGCTGCTGCACAGCTCCAGCTCCAAACAACATCCCCAGCAGCCAAGTGGCTTTCAGCATGTCTGAGAGGCAGCATTAAGGTGCAGGTTGGCCAGTGAACAACTGAAGCACTGAGGAGTGCACAGACACCTGAAAAACACAATCTGAAATGGGTTTTTCTCTCTCTGGCCTCCTCAGGGAAAGGACAAGAGCCAGCTGAAGGGCAGAGTACTGGCTCTGAGCCCTGCTCAGGGCAGAGGACAATGCTGGCAGGGAGACAATCTCTCCACTAAACCAGGGCTCTATCCACAGCCCTGCCCATGATTTTAGCAGGATCCCTGGAGGAGATCAGGTCATCAGGCACAGCTAATCCTGTACCTGGAGCAGAGGCTTGTTCTGAGGACAAACACCACTCGGTATATTCATCTAACTGCAGAGAAGTCTCTTCTGGGCACCTCAATCCTCAGGCCCTCCCAGCAGGTGTAAGTGCAATGGCTGAAGCCTTCATGGCTTTACCCAGGCTGTGAGGAATGTCTGGGATAACTGAATCAGCATCACTGCAGAGGGAATTGCAGAGCCATGGAGCTATCTGAACAAATGCTGCCACCTTTGGACTAATTAACTGCATTCCACTCACAACCCAACACTGCACCTCAGCAGCATCTTGGTCAGCAATTAGTTCACATCCATGTACAGCAATATTTGGTTTACCATGACACATTCTCACAGCACTGACACCACAGGAGCCTTTGGGTAAAGTCTAGTCCAATAACTGCTCTCAAAATTGAAGCCTGTGCAAAATGAAGTGCAAAGGAATTATTTCCATTGTTCAGCATTTGACACGGGCTGGCACTGCCCTGCCTGCAGGCCAACCCCACAGTCCTGTGAGCCCACAGCAAGTTACTAGCTCTGCAATGATCCTATTGATTTCCCTGCTAATGCACCACATTCCCTTCAGCCTCTTCCCCAGCCCTTCCCTCTGCTCAGCAGCAGCTGCT